CTCCAACTCCTGCTCAAAACCCTAAATATCTACATGCAACATTTGGGAACGACCACAGGCACCAGTTTTTAAACCACATCAGGATCAGATACATTTCCACCTGCAGAGAAAGGTCTTTGTGTCGCTCAGTGTTAAAGAATTACATCTTATAAATATATTCAACATGTAAATGAAGACAAAACTGTAAAAATGATTGAAAAACCAGCTGTGAAGATTTGAGTAATTCTGTGTTTTCTGATCTYGAGGTCAGACTTTGATCGTGTAAAGACAGGAAACGTGTCTGCAGATGATTATGGAGGCAGATGGGAGGGTTTACAGAAACACCCCTCAAAAGTTTCACATCTGTCCTTTTTGTTTCAGTCTCTGCTGACGCTGCAGCTGCTTCTCTTCACTTCACTTAGTTCAACAACAACTGTAAGTATTTTCTTATCATACTTTACATTCCACTACTTTTCCCTCCGATAATCATCAGTATTCTAAAAACAAACAAAAAATTTTTTGATTTGTTTTTCACAAACTCKGACTGAAGCACTGACCTCACTGCTAAAATATTTTCATGTAAAACATGTTGCGTCTAAATGCCTTATCTTCTGTTATAAACACATCATGATGATGTTTGAGCGTTTGATATGCAGATCAACTTAAAAATAAAACCCCATGTAAATTCAATACAGTGATAAAAATTATAAACTAAATTACCACTTAATTTATTTCACGTTTTTCTTCTGTGGAGTTGGACTTTTCTGTGAATTTTCACATCTTTACTTTTATTTTAGGCTTTCAGTGAGTATATCTTTTGGCACTGGCTGATTTTTGTGTAATGAAAACAAATCTCAGATAATGTAGTTTAAAAAACAAAACTATTTTAGCTCCAACAAGGTGATTCCTAACCTGAACGACCAGCCGAGGGGTGATTTATTTGAGCATTTCTCACAGATTTTGCTAAGAAGGTTGGGACATARTGTGTCTCCGAGACAGAGCTTGATTTTTTTTCTTGCAGACGATGATGAGTTACTGGGTTATATGTAGACTTAATACTGGTTCATCCCTTTCGTTCTGCAGTTGTTTTTAAGACTAAAATGAATCAGTTTTTTCAGAGCCGGCTCTTGGCATAGGCGAACTAGGCGGTCACCTAGAGCGCCATCTGCTGGAGGGGGCGCCGAACTGCAGAAGGAAAAAGTAATTATTTGTAATCCCTGGTTGTAACTCTGCTCAGCGCRCCTTTCAATTAGCTTTGTCTTAAAAACTATAACGAAGTATTACAGGAAAAATAAACTACTCTACCCATAAAACACCCCCTCAATGCAGCAATCACCCCCACCCTCTCTCTCGTTTGATTGACGTTGCACTGACTCGTCCTGCTCCGACACTCTGACGGGGGAGGGGCTAGTAGTGCCTCTCAAGTAGCAGTTTGTGTTGACAAAATCAATAACAACAAGTCTGTATTTTGTTGTCCCATTCATGTCAACCTCTTCGGCCGTTTACCTGGATAAAAAGCCTCAAAAATCTGTAAATTTAGCAAAAAATACGTACAACTTGCAACTGGGGGCAGGGCGGGGGGCGGGGGTGCAAAAAATCTAAGTTTACCATAGTACCTTACACTGTCAAACTTGTTTTTAAGGGTTCAAATTGGGGTGGGTGGGATATAGTTTGGTGGGGAGGGGGGGTGCGCTTCAACTTGCCTGGGGCACCAAAATGGTTAGAGCCAGCACTGAGTTTTTTTGATAGTCAAAGGAACAAAAGGTGTCTGGTAATGAGCAGCATGCTGGCCCATTAGATGTTATAATAAAATGTTTTCGTATTTTCAGTTTTATAGAAACCTTTAACATCGATGATGATGATGATGATGATGATGATGATGATGATGATGATGATGATGATGATGATGATGATGATGTGTTGACCGTTTTCAGTTTTTTTTTTACTTGTATTTCTGGTTTTGGGTGCTGAGAAAACAAACAATGTGACTGAAACCACCCCATCGTGTCTTTTATCAAGAACAGACATGTTGTGAAACCATCCTCAGTGCTGGCTGGAGACGTCAAACAAATATGTGAGGAGGGGCCCACTTGTCTCCTTGCTGCAACAATTAAAGCCTTTGAACCCGAAGATTAGGTTCTTTTTCTGAGGAAGTTTTTTTTCTAGCAACAGAGCTGCTGCTTCTCAGTAAAAAGGTGTTCAGACACCTGTCTGGGAGGAGTTTCCTCCCACAGAACAAAAACATGACCGTTAGGCTAAATGGCAACTTTAAATTGTCCCTAAATGGGAATCATTGTGTCTCAGTGTGGGCACTCACACAGCAACTGTGGTGGTTTTATCTGAGCATTTTTTTAAATAACTTTTCTAAGGAGATCTGACTCCTTGGAAGCAAAATGTAAATGAATTAACATTTCTTTACAACTGTTGCGCAGAGTTTTCAATCTTTATTTCTGTAATTCTTTGTTTTTTTAACCCTCCTGCTGTCCTTGGTTGACCCAAGGACAGCAGGAGGGTTATCTGAAGTGTTGTTCTTAAGTTTCTCACAGTCCGTCTGTTGCAGCATGAATAAAATGTTTTTATAAAGCCCCGTCATTCACTGTTTTATCTTATTTATTTTATTTTTCCCCTCCTGAAAGAAGTCAAAATGAAAGTAGCAGCGTTCAACATGAAGAACCTGGGGATGAAAAAAGTCTCAGACAGCTTCGTCTCTGAACATCTAATCGAGGTGATTTTTATCAAGCAGAACTTATTCAGTACAAAGTAAAAAAAAAACCATTAAACCATAATAAATATGACCTAACGTCATGTGTTTGTCTCAGYTCATGTCTCAGTACAGCATCGTGGTGATGCTGGAGGTCGTGGACAAAAACAACAAAGCCATGGAGCTGCTGCTTAAAAAACTTAATGAAGCTTCGTGAGTTTTTATCKAACAGAAAAACTGCATTTTATGTGACAATACATTGTGAACGCTGAGTGTTTTAATATAAACTATGCCATAACAATGTTAATGTTTTGTCTGTTTTTTAAAGGGAACYTTCATATAAAATGGCCCGCAGCTCCTGTCTGGGTCGAGGCACCTACAAGGAGCAATATGTGTATTTCTACAGGTTGGTCTGGACTCTGATCTGTTGAAGATATCAGTGATGCTGTTGATGGTGTTGAAGTATTGTCACAGCAGCTGTGATAATCATTGAAAGATGTTTTTAAAATGTTGTTCATTCCGGAACAGAAATAAACTTTAGACTCTTTGTGTCTCAGAGAAGACGAGGCAGAGCTCAACGCTGAATATCAGTATGAAGACGACCAGGCTGGAGATGAAGATGCTTTTGCCAGAGAGCCGTACGTCGTGCACTTTAAGTGTTCTGACACAGGTTTGTGACGTTGAGGTTTACGTAACAATTTATCTAATTTATTTACTGACTCGATCAAGCGTTTTCCATTATTATATTTTCATCCAGTTGCTGAGGACCTGGTTCTGATCCCAGTCCACACCAGGCCAGAAGACGCGGAGAAGGAAATAGATGAGCTTTARGATGTGGTCACGGCCGTCAGGGAGAAATGGGGAATTGACGTAGGTTTTATAAAACAGTAAATTTAATGTTCAAAATGATTCAAAACAGCTTTTAAACCACTTTAGTACCCTTTCAAAATAAGAGAGCAGAATGCTATGGTGTTTCTTTTGCCAAAGATATTAAATTTTCAGATTAATCTGATAATTAGTGTTAAAAACTTCTGACCACCATCATCAGTTAAATGTTGACACTGATCTTCTTTTCTCTGCAGAATATTGTAATTTTAGGAGACTTCAATGCAGACGGTCATTATCTTTCCAAGAAGAAAAAAACTAAACTTCGTATCTGCAAAGAGCCTTTTTACTGGCTGATCGACGACAGCGTGGACACAACAGCCAGCAACTGCACCGACGAAACCTACGACAGGTGAGTCAGACCAGGTGTCCCAGCAGAAACAAGCAGCAGAGCTTCATTCAGGTGTTTGGGCTCTTGGTCGTGCTGTATGATTTTATTTGGTCCAAGCTTTGGCWGTTGGTCTCAGATTTGACTCTGGAGTCTTTTGGTCTACAGAGCAGTTGGTCATCTAAATTGGTGGCTACCACCCCTGGTCCTCCAGACCCACTATCCTGCATGTTTTAGTTCTTTCCAGGTCCTCAGACTCTTCAGAAACCTGTTAATCACTCCTTCATAAAATGAGGCAAAGCAGGGAAACATGTAAACCATGTAGGATAGTGGGCCTTGAGGACCAGGGTTGAGAACCACTGATCTAAATGACTTTAAGGAGCCCAAACCATCAGCCCTCTACTCCCGTGCTGACAGCTGGGAGGTGTTTGTGTTGAATGTGGTCAAACATGATTCATGGAGGCCAAATCCTCACAAACACACATATACAGACTTTGAAAACCCTACAAAGCTCAATAAATATTAAATATTAGAGACCAGGAAATCATCCCAAAATATGTTGAATGTGAGTCTTRTGTTGATTTTCTGCAAACAGGATTGTGGTCTATGGAAGTGAGATGCTGGACGCCATCGTCCCCYACTCGGCTAAGCCCTTCAACTTTCAGAAAGAGTTCAAARTGACCGATGAAGACGTGAGATTTATTTGGTTTAATGATCTACGTCTCTTTGTTTGACAATAAAAAATGGTTAAAAGTTTTCTTCAGTTTAAAGATAAAACCGGAGCTTTGATTCATCGTGTGTTTGTCTTTGTTGTCCAAGGCTCTAAGGATCAGTGATCATTATCCTGTGGAGGTGGAGCTGAAGACTAAAACAGGACCAAAGACCCAAACTACAAAGAAAGGTTTGCCTTTACTGTGGACTTCAGAGAGATTGYTGTTGCCTCAGTTTGAGCAGATTCCAGTTTAAAAATCATTGGTCTGCATTAAATGAATAAAAACTGAACTAAACTAAATTTCACTATTAATCTTCATTCTGTTGCTGTAAACCAACAGGACCTCAGAAGGATGCAGGAGCTAAAAGAAAACCAGGACAGAACTCTGCAGCCTCGACGTCAAAGAAACGACGTTAAATTTAACAAATAACTGGATCTTACAAATCATTACAAGTTAACTTTATAACAAAAAGCAATACCTCTAAAAATGTTTGTATTTTATTTAAATTCTTTTAAAAATGCCAGAGA